TAATGCTCATCACTATAAGCCTTGCAAGCAATGTGACTAACGAGTTAGTTGCAGGATGAAGTATTACGGAACGAGTAAAGAGACTTGCTGGTAACGAGATTGAACTAGGTATGATGATACCGACGATTGAATCTCGGGCAAGTAACATACCGATGACAAAGGGAACAATGTATGTTGTTATGCGGTTTGACCGATAAAGATCTTCGTAGAATATGTAGGAACCAATATGAGCATCCAGGTTCCGCTATTGGTTATTGACCGGAAGTGAGTCTCAGTCATGTCTACATAGTTCTCGAACCCGCAGGGTCCGCACGCTTAACGTTCGATGACAATTGGTATTATGAGTTTATGTGTTTTGATGTACCGAAGGTAGTTCGGAGTCCCGGATGTGATCACAGACATGACGAGGAGTCTCGAAATGGTCAAGACATGAAGATTGATATATTGGAAGGTTATGTTTGGACACTGGAATAGTTTCGGACGAGTTCGGGCATTTACCGGAGTACCAGGAGGTTACCGGAACCCCCCGGGGGGGTCAATGGGCCTTCATGGGACTTAGTGGAAATAGAGGGCAACAAGGGAGCTATGGGGCACGCCCCCCTAGGCCCAAACCGAATTGGTTTAGGGCTTGGGGGCCGGCCCCCTCTTTCCCTCTCCCCTCCTCCTCTTTCCTTCCCCTCCTAGTTGGACTAGGAAAGGGGGAACCTACTCCTAGTAGGAGTAGGATTCCTCCCTTGGGGCGCACCCTATGAGGCCGCCGCCCCCCTCCCCTTGCTCCTTTATATACGGGGGAGGGGGGCACCCATATGACACACAAGTTGACAATTGTTTTAGCCGTGTGCGGTGCCCCCCTCCACAAATTTCCTCCTCGGTCATATCGTCGCAGTGCTTAGGCGAAGCCCTGCGCCGGTAACTTCATCATCACCGTCAACACGCCGTCGTGCTGACGAAACTCTCCCTCGACCTCAGTTGGATCTAGAGTTCGTGGGACGTCACCGAGCTGAACGTGTGCAGATCGCGGAGGTGCCGTACCTTCGGTGCTAGGATCGGTCGGATCGTGAAGATGTATGACTACATCAACCGCGTTGTCATAACGCTTCCTCTTTCGGTCTACGAGGGTACGTAGATTACACTCTCCCCTCTCGTTGATATGCATCACCTAGATAGATCTTGCGTGATCGTAGGATTTTTTTTGAAATTACTGCGTTCCCCAACACTTGGGCCCACATGCGCTCCCTGGTGGGTTGTGCCCCCTCGGGGCACCCCCCAGGTGCTTCTTTGGCCCATTGGATGTCTTCTGGTCCATAAAAAAATCCACAAAAATTTTCGCGGTGTTTGGACTCCGTTTGATATTGATTTCATGCGATGTAAAAAACAAGCAAAAAACAACAACTGACACCAGGCACTGGGTCAATAGGTTAGTCCCCAAAAATGATATAAAGTTGTTATAAAATGATTGTAAAACATCCAAGAATGATAATATAACATCATGAATACTTCATAAATTATAGATACGTTGGAGACATATCATGTATTAGCGAGAGGGCCTAGAGATACCTCTCCGATACTTGGAGTGACAAATCCCAATCTCGATCCATGCCAACTCAACAGACACCTTCAGACATACCTATAGAGCATCTTTATAATCACTCAGTTGCGTTGTGACGTTTGATAGCACACAAGGCATTCCTCCCGTATCCGGGAGTTGCATGATCGCATGGTCGAAGGAACATGTATTTGACATTAAGAAAGCAGTAGCAATAAACTGAACGATCATATGCTAAGCTAACGGATGGGTCTTGTCCATCACATCATTCTCCTAATGATGTGATCCCGTTATCAAACGATAACTCGTGTCCATGGTTAGGAAACCTTAACCATCTTTTGATCAACGAGCTAGTCTAGTAGAGGCTCACTAGAGACACGGTATTTGTTTATGTATCCACACATGTATTTAAGTTTTCGGTCAATACGATTCTAGCATAAATAATAAATTTTTATCATGATTAATGAAATATAATAATAATCATTTTATTATTGCCTCTAGGGCATATTTCCATCACTCATACCGTCCCTATATGCTCGGGCTGACCGGCAACCCTCATATCCAGTCCATATCTGCGACGAATATGAGGAGGCCTGGTCGCCCTCGGGCGTGTCCACCACGTCGGACTGACGAGCAGGACTCACACGGACACATGTCTAAACACAATAGTTGGTGAGGATGCATTCATGCCGACGCTCCGGTGTGCCGCCCGGACTCCAAATCCAACTATTTAAGCCGGATGGCAGAACCTCAACCCTATCCGGTCCCATTTCCACCCTCCCTCCCATCCACGCTGCCACCTTCCAATCCGCTCGAGCTCGCCGTCCGCTGGTAGTCATGGCCCGACAACGGATCACCACATACGTCATGCTCACTCTAGAGCGGTGGTTGGAGCTCCTACAGGAGATCCGAGCCAGGCGCGCCGCTCGAATTGCGTTCGGCCTACCTCCAGACTCTTCGGAGGAGGAGGTGGAGGAAGAGGAAAGTGAAGCTGAACTGGTGTGGCTATAGATGCTCTTACACCGGTACGGAAAAATCAAACCTATCACTCTCAAAGAATGGGTAAAAAGAATTCAAGCTAGGGGAGCCTACACTCTCTAACTACCTATACTACGCCCCCATTGATTGGAAACCCTCGGGAAAAATGATCCCATAAACAAAGGAATTATACAGTACGAAATAGCAAAAAAACAGACTAATTCGATTCTAAAAAATCGACAATAGATATTTTATAAGGACCCTCATGCATTGAGGAATTGTTGCCGGTCCACTATATAACTTTATAAATTTGGAATAAAAACTCCTTAACCCCTGAAAAAAAGGCTTAGAAATTAAACTGCAAAAAGTTTTATAAGTATCAGTGTACAGAAGGAGTATATATTTCAGAAAAATCAGAAAGACTATAAACATATACTTTGTTTCTGTCTGGGTGTCTCTCCCCCGTTCAAAACGAGTGCTCGTTTTGCGGCGCACTGTGAGCCGCCACAGGCAAAAGGCAGCCCGGAGAGCCGCGAATTCCCTCCTCCCGCCCGCCGAGTCCCCGCCTAAACCCAGACGGCGACCGGCTCTCTTCTCCTCGGCGATCTCCCGGGATCCGCTCCGCTACCATCGGTAAGCGAGCTTCCTCCTCCTCCTCTTCCCCTCCTCTGCATTCTCGTCTTAGTTCCGTTCCGATTGGATTCGCCGGAAAACCCTAGCTAGGCTACGGAATCGAGGGATTCACCGGCTCGCGGTGGCCCGAGTTGAAGCTGTCTCGCGCTAGACGGGCGGAGGATTCGGTGGGGGTTGGGGGTCGGAGCGGGGTGGCTACTGGTTGCCCCATCTGCATATGCACGTATGCTCAAACAGTCGCCCCTGTGACCGTGAGAAGTGATTTGTTACAGGTTTATGTTTCTAATCGCGTTTGTTTGGCTCGTGTAAGCAGTTTCTGGTCGATATTAGCGTGTTCCTTTGCACAGTTATGGTTTGGTTCAGGGATACACGTAACTAGTTCTGTGGATTAATTCCAACCGAGTATGGGTGCTTATTTCCCATTTTTTCGGTACGGTGACAGATCTAATTGAGTTTCTGATATTTGTTGAGATATTGTTTGTATCTGCAAGGAATGGATGTAGTGGAACCTCTGGTTTGAAATCCATAACTCCATAAGATATCTGCAAATTGCTTAATTCAGAACGTCTACTCTTAAGCCATGTAGATCTGGTTATCAAATGCTGACTTATTCAGTAACTTTGCTCGCCACTTTTTTTCTTGTTTGCTGTCATCAAGCCGTGGCTTTGTTGTATTTTTTGTGTTGTGCAAATCATTGGTTTACAGTCTATATATAAAATTGACTTGGATATGCGGTTGGATTCTGGCCAACATTTTCAATTGGTGGTTCCTCTAGGAGCTTTATTGTTGGTTTGTGGCTGATGATTATTAGTGCGATGCAACTGGGGTGCTCTACTACAGGTTCTCTTCATAAAAGGGCACTGTGGAAGTTATGCATTTGGTACAAATTAAATGCCTTTGGATAGCTAGTGAATTCTTCTAAGTTGCTCCTGTGTTGCTTTAGCTTAACAATCAACCTTAGGTTTTAATGCAATGTAATGTGTTCTTTTAACTATGATATTCATTACATCAGTTAGGGCTTCTTTGATTCAAAGGAATTTTATAGGATTTCTGGAGGATTGAAATCCTTAGGATTTTTTCCTATGTTGGTCCTTTGATTCATAGGATTGGATCCCATAGGAATTTTTCCTATGGAATCTTCTGTACTACATTTCATAGGAAATTTAACATCCACTCAAACCTCTTTTCACAATTCCTTTGTTTTTCCCGTGGCATCAAACAATCATTGCTAATTCTATAGGATTCAAATGGGCATGCCACTCCAACCCTACACTTTTCCTATTCCTATGTTTTCAAAATCCTACGAATCAAAGAGGCCCTTAGTCGCAAGAAAAGCAATTTCTGCTATAGTTGTTCAGTTCATATATGCGAAAGCTTATCTGTGAAATCATACCTTTGGTATTGGATTTGCTTACTACAAGCAGTACTATTTGTGATTCCCTGATACCGCCTAATATACAATTTCGTAGCGCTAGAAGTGTATTTTTCACCTAGCAACGACTAAATACTACTCCCTCCGTCCGGAAATACTTGTCGGAGGAATGGATGTATCTAGATGTATTTTAGTTCTACATACATCCATTTTTATGCATTTCTCCGACAAGAATTTCTGGACGGAGGGAGTATTTCCTTATATTACCGTTACAGTAGAATCATAACGCCCGAATTTCATTCATTTTTCTAACTAAAGATGAAATGATATAATTGCGTCATCACTAACCAATATACCTTAGGTTTCCTTGCAGGATAGTGGGATCCCCTTCCATCCCAATTTAAAAGCCAAGCGCTAGCAGTGGCTGGAAGAAGAGATCCCTGCTTTCACTTCCATTGACCCAAACAAATCATGGCTGCTGATCGGCGCCACCCGGCGGTGAACGACGTGTACCTGACGCTCGTCGGCGCCAGCAACACCCTCGCCGACGTCCAGCGCCGCCTTGACCTCGAGTTCCGTGCCTCCTACCCCGACCATGTTAGTAATCAAACTCCCCTTCCTCTCCTCTCTAGCCGCTTCCTTCCATGACAGGATCTGGGTGACGGTTTCATTCAGGCAAACCCGGCGAAACTGGTAGGGCGAGTGAAGCGGGTGCAAGAGGAGGTGGCTGCGCTCAAGGATCTCTGCCGCGACCTCCTCGCCCAGAAGCAGGTCAGTCAGATCCCCTTCTCGAATCCTCCACACCTTCTTCCAGGTTTACTGATCCCGTGATCCTGCGTGCGTGTGCAGGAGCTGATCGACATGATGCGCACGAGCCTGGCTGCGCAGCGGAGCGCCACACAACGGCTGCTCGCCTCCTCCGGGCTGCCCCTCATGACCGGCGACGAGGAGGCCGCCTACGCCAGCCTCAAGCAGGTGACCCCCCACCCAAAAAACCCGCAATCTAGCTACAGGCCGTGAGAGATCTGATGAATTTGTTCGCTACTCTTTGTTTACGTTGCAGGTGATCGACGAGTGGACTGATCAGCTGAAGCCAATGGCAGGTAGGTTTTCTTTGCTTTGCAGCAGTTCGTTGGATTTTGTGATGGGGAACTCACTCCAACTGGCCGTGGTTTCACTTGCAGGGGGTCCGGATGGGGAGAATGAAGACACCAACCAGATCCTCTTCTCCGCAATCCTTTAGAGAGAATGAAAACTTCTTGAGCATCGAACGATTTCTCTGTTGGAAGTTTTTCCTTCCATCTTGTGTGCGTTTTTAGCAGATTGCGATGGGCTTGTCAATTAGTGTCTTGTTGAGTGTATATGAGAAAAACAGTGTTGATTTCTTGGTTTGGGATGTTATTCCTGTTATGTATTTACATCCAGTGTTCTGCACACAGTTTTCTAGCTGGCTCATCATGCAGTGTATTTAACTCATCAGCTCTAACCACAAAAAAAGATAGATTCGTGAGCGTCGTTCACTTTTTTTTATGAGTATGAAGAAACATGGCAATGCATGTTTTGTTCTCTTTGTGCCTTTTCAAAAGCTAAATTGCACGAATCCTAATGTGATTAAGATAATGTTGTCATTGGCATGGTTTAGAATCTGATCATTTTCCAACTCTTTTTTTGAGAATTGTCTTTTAAAGATGAAAGAGCATGCTTATGTGTCTTAACTGTTAAAGGGCAGTCGGTGATACATTGGATGCCTGGCTGTGGCGGATGAAGTGAGGTGAGAACATCTGTTGTGGCGCAGGAGAAAGCAGGCAATGCTGTGGCATGATGTCATCACGTGGTGCTAGGGAAAAATCAATTATGGATGATCTAATGACACTGATACAATGATAACAATCGTCCAAATGTCTGTGTCTACTTCCTGCACCTGCTTGTTGAATGCCTGCTCCAAGCTTGTTGAATGCCTGCTCCATGTTCGGTAAAAATGATCGCCTTAGTTTTGCTGGAAGACATGTGCTGCCTGTGCTTCATTTCATTAATATAGTATCAACCAGCTTGGCATGTATTCAGTTTTAATGAAGTGTTCTTATAATTGTGCAGGTGATGGGGGCAGAAGCTATTTTGGTCAACCTCATCCACCTCTTGCTGTTCCAGCGAAGTTTTGTCTGCAAAGAAGACTAGGTAATCTGATAAGAGCTCATTGTTTATGATATTTAAATTTTGTGATTCAAATGATTTTTCATGCCCAATCCTTGACGTTCAGGACTATATGAATTTCTGTTCTATATTGCAAATTTGTGTATTGGTGAACTTGATATTGGGTGCCCATCTCAGATCCTTAACTACATGAAAGTCACATCTGCCTGGACTGGGATGCGTGCAGCCGTGTACCAAAGGGTCACAACAGTCAAAGGTTCAGGTGAAGCTGACAACGTATATGTCGATATACAGAAGACAATCGCCAACATTCACTTTCCGCAACGGCTTAATAGTTGGAGAATACAAGACACACTGGGTGGATGGGTAGAAGGATAGGCAAGGCAAGAAACCAAGGAAGATAGCGGGAGGCCAGAGGGTCATTTGCTAGTTGCCGACAAAGAAATAGGAGGAAGAACACCAACGTTTATCGTGATGCAGTTGAAAATTACACATCGTCACATTTGACGTGCATGTTGAAGGCCTTATCAGCTGCGAACGGATTGAGCAGTGCTCAAGCTGAACATGGAGCTGCAGCTGCTGCCTGCAATGTCAATGCCTATGGGCAGAAGGAAGAGGGGCCAAGCCGCTGGTAAGAGAGGAATGAAGCCAAGATACAGATGTATCTGGCGAGTATGGAGAAGGCTGCAGTACCATGTGAAACCAAAAGCTTCACCAACTTCTTCCGGTGATGCATATTCCCAATTTCAGAAGTGTTTCCAGCTTGGGTACTAGAGATATGAGTGCAACAACGACTGTGCCTACATATTACGGCCTTAAAGGACACAGCAGCTTGAAAACCCCAAGTTGACGTAGTCCACTGTGTTAGAGTCCTATCAATTTGTGATCCTGATCTTGAAAAGGAGAGGGAGGAGGAGAAGAAGCTGATGGAAAAAAAGACGGAGAAGGAAAAATCTACAAGAAGGGAGGGAAAAAGTAAGAGAAAAAACCGTTCACATAATGGTTCAGATCGGCATAACAGTGAGGACTCTGTTCGACTCGGACACTGAATCACCAGCTACCGGCTCTGGATATTCTTCTGAAAGTGGCAGTTCTTCGAATTCAGAGAACAAGAAGCGGCGACCCAAAGGGAAGCAGAAGAAGAGAAGGCACAGAAGGGACAGCACATCGTCATCATCATCCGATTCTGAATCCGTTTTGGACTCTGATTCTGTTGACAAGGGCAGCTGGAGGAAGACCGGTAAGGCGAAGCAACAGGTGCTGAGGCTGATGAGCCAGAGAACGGAGGAAGTTGATGAGGAAGCCAAGTATGTCATCTCCATTTCACTCCACATAGGTCCTCTGAGAAACAAATGTAACCGTTTCTTTGCTGAATGCTAGTACTATTGTTTTCCTGTACTAAGAAGTGCTTGAAGCTCTAGATCTTTCCTGTTCAAAGGTGTCCGTGACAACGGCTAATCATGTAACCGTATTCATATTTAGATTCCTAAATTTAGTTTCGTTGTTTTCCTGAAAGTTTATTGTGATCATTGCGCCCTGACTCATCATGTTGGGTTCTTGCTGTATCTTTGGAGACCTGGCTTCTTATTTCCTATGAGAAAAGACATCACCTGAGAGTTATTTAATGGCAACTTGCATCTCGTGCAGGATGCCAGATGATCGGTATGACAGTTTGAGTCCTGCCCTCTGACAAGCTCCTGGATGCTATTGACCAAGAAAAACTTCAAGTGATCCAGCTGTTCCTGAGCTGTTTGGGATCTTACAGTCTGCATCTGCATTATGGAACCCAACATACAAGCCTTCTTATCTGAAACACTGAAATGGAACAACCTTGAAGTATGGCCGCCCATCATGCAATCACATACTTGGAACACCAGATCAGGGCCTTCAGTCTGAGGAAGTGCAGAGCACCCAAGGCAACAATGATTGGGTAGGGTTGCAGCACCAAGCATAATCAAAAGCTAACCACAGTCTGAGGAGTTTCCTTCCCTGGGCTTGAGCTGAGCAGCTGATCTTGCTTGCCATCATGTACCTCACCAATATCATTGTTCTCCAGCTGGTTAGTTACTATTCCCTCTGTTCGGAAATAACCACCTGAGGAGTTTTTGGCTATCATCTGTCTACCTCTTTGCCTCTCTCTTCTCTTTTGAGGTGGGGCGCGCACGATAATGGTTTCCTGCGCCCCGAGCACATGATCGACGGAGACGACGGGATTGTTCCTGTATGCGGGCTCCCAGTCTCAGGCTACCTGTGTAGTTTGCCTTGTTGTTTACTGCTTCACGTTCCAGCTTCAGAGCCGGTCGTTTTACTTGCTTTTGAACCAAGAGGAGGAGGAATCTGTCAGCTCTGCTTGGATTTACTATTGGCCTCTATCGTCTCCATGGCCCATGGGCTGCACCGTGGTAGGTAGGTACGTATCTACTTGAGCTCCCTACAACGCAATTATACAAGTCTGTCTTGTACATGTAGACGGTAGACTAGAGTACAGCAGCTCTAGTACTGTACAACCCCAGAGCATATACGTCTGAGCTTTCTGAAAATCTGAGTCATACATGCATGTAGACCACAGAGGACAAGCAGTGCATGTACACATGGTGCAGACTTTGGTATATGATCTTGAAAATTAAGGCATATACTTGTCTTGAGAAGAAAACGAGGTTAATCTAATCGATTGCTTCTTCTGCTGTTGCTGCAAGTAGGCACATTGGATTCTTCTACTTAGGATTGGTGTACTGGTAATTACCAGCTGATTAACTAAAAGTGTGTGGCAGGACAGCATATGTTGCTGCTCCTTTTCCCTATAAAGACAGGCACCATCTTTCTCTACCATGTCCAAGACAGACATTCTTTTGGTAGATAAGTTACAGTATATGGAGTCTACAGGCTTTTAGAAATCTCCTCATCTTTGGAGGGCTTTGGGCAATATGCAAATGCATGCATGATTCTCCTTGATCCAAGCTGGACCCACAGGGTTCTGAAAGCTGGCAACTTCTGATGATTCCAATTAGCTTTTTCTCACCTTTCTCGCCCTGCTCCTCTCACTACTACTACTCCCGGCTGCTTTTGCCTGTGGAGATCTAAATCTTTGCATCAGAATCTAGTGAGACATATGTATGTGTCAAAGGAGCTTGCTAGGACAATCATTGCTTGCAACATTCCTCCATCACTTGGTTAATTCCCTGCATATGCACTTGCCTAGCCCCTGGACCTGAACCTGTTCTCTTTTGTGCTTCAGAGAAGCATCCCATGTTAGTGCTTGCTGCTGCTCCTGCTATATGTTGGCATTTCCGGTATTACCCTTTGGGGTGCCATTTACTTGCCTTTGCGATTAGTTAGGACTGTTTTCTACTCTGCTATTCAATACTAGGACCAGCTTTAGTGGTTAGCATAGAACTGTACACATCTCTTCAAAAAATAATCCATATATCATGGCCTAGATCACTGTAAAAACACTCTTTGGTGTAATCCATATATGTGCAGATTGAGCTGAGTCTTTTTCAGAAGAAAATAAACCAAGGTGAGAAGTATGATTAATTCACTGACCCTTATATATGCTAGTAAACCAGGCCATGATATTTGTGCATTGCAGCACGTCCAAGATGAAGATCTGGAAATGCGTGCTTCAAGGAGCTCGACAGAAACATTCACATCGTGAGGACCATGCGATCAGGCTGCTACCTCAGTTTGCAGTAAAAAATTGCATCCGTTTGGGACCAGCTTCTCAACTAGCACTAGCAGCAACTGCGGCGGTGAATGTTGTGGCTTTTAATCCACTTACGTAAGCAGGCAAGCCTGAAACATCTCAGAGCCGTCCAGGGCTCATTACGCGATGGAACCACCACCGCGTTTATTATATCATAGTGAGTGCAGCATCTTCATCTACCCCCCTTTCCAGATATACTATACCACATGAACTCTGACTTATTGATACAAGTGCTCTGAAAATGCTTCTTTTCCACCTCAATAAATTGTGGCTCAAACAGGTATTGCCTGCTTTAAATGGTCTTGTATCCTTCTTAAAACATGCTCCTACATCTGTATATCACTTACTGTCCATTTTGCTGAAGCTGAAGCATGCCTGCACATTTTTAA